GTATATCTTCTGTTTAGGTTTCGGCTAGCTCTTTCTCAGCTTCTTTTTCCTCTTCCTCTACCTCTTTTTTCTTTTCTTATTTCTTTTATTTAGCCAGGATACTTGAAAATTGTTATATCTAATTGGCTTTGATTGGGCTGCCTTCATCTCTTTTTCTGTTGCAAATGTAATTATTGCTGTTCTTCTTTGATTTTTATTTCTGTTTGGTGGAATGTATATTGATTTTGCATCTTTGCTTCTTAGACAATATAACAGCAAAACTTCTAAGGCCTTACTTGGCAAATCTGTTATTTTTGCTATGTACTGACTTTGCCTTTGTCTTTCTTCATAATTTTCTTCATCTTCTGTTACTCTTACCAGTTTGTTACTATTAACTGGTATAGACTATAGTATGTTTCTTTCTTTTGGTTCTTCTATTTATACTATTATGAGAGACTTGTATTTGGATCTCTTAATTCTTGTTATGTGTGTTTTCTTGAATCTTCTGCACATATATTTGATTTCTTTCCTATTTATGTCTGCTGGTAAATTCCAGATTGTTATATTTTTATATTTTTGTATTTCCTCTTCTTCTTCTGTATCTATTTGATCTTCTGTAGATTCTTTTTTACTTTCTTGCTCTTCATATTCCTTCTTTTTAAATTCTAATATATTGTTTCTTTCCTTCTGATATTTTTTGTCATATATTTTTTTCTTTTTCTTTTTGTCTATTTTTTCTTCTTCTGCAATCATTCTGTACCAGTCACTTTCTTTTTTGCTAATTCTTTGTATTGCCTCACTTCTATTATATTCATAGTTAAAGTCTATCTCTATTCATAGATTTCTTCTTTTAAAGACTTCTTCAATGTTTTTAACATGCTCATTATTTTTTAATGACAATCTGATAAAGTTTGTGCATTCTTCTTTAGTCTTCCCTGATACATTATGTGCACATATGTTTGCAAATAGCTGTTGTTTCAATTACAGTCTCTTTTGCTCAGTGCCCACATGCTTTCTTCAAGTAGTACTTCAAATACATCAATTTTTCTTTCAATTTCTTGTTTTCTTCTAATATTGATTCCTGTCTTATTTCTTTTTCATCCATTTCTATGTTTTCTAGTTTTTGATCTCTTTTCTGTTTTTCTTCTTTTTCTTCACAAAAGGATGATGATTCAGTTTCTACTTGGTTATTACTTGTTTGTCCTACCAGTATACTTACTTTCCCTCTTGCAATCTTCATACTTGCTTGTAGATTTTTGTTAACCTTTTTATTCTCTTTTTTCCTTTTTCTTGTCTCTTCTTTTGACACTTTTTGTCTTTTCTCTATCTTATTGGTCTGTTGTTATTCTTTCTTCTTTTCTATACATATTTTATCTTGATGTTGTACTACAAAATCAATCTTCTTCTCAGGTTGTTCTTTTTTTGCTTTTCTAATATCTCTCTTGTTATTCGCAGAAGTGCTACTTTATTTGGGTTTTGTTTTGTAAATGTTGCAATAATATTATCTTCTCTATTTGGTATTGCATATACCTTACTTGCTTTATTAAAGAAAATTTTATTATGCACACTGTTTATAGCCTCATATGCCCTTCTTGTAAAAAGTGCATTAAGGCTTTCTCTGTATTCTTCTGGCAAATTTTTGTTTATGTTGCACAGTCATTTTTATATATTCTATATCACATGTTGTATCTATACTAAACTGGTTTGATGTACATGTTTGTTTGTTTACTTTGCCAGTCCTATTGTGACTTCTTGTATAACCTAAAGGATCTATGATACAGGATATTGGCAGTTCCCCACTTTTTCAAAAGAATTTTCTACTTTTCATTAAAATTCGCTATATGCAGTTTTCTGCTATTGCTCTAGTTCTTCTTCTATATTTTTCTATTAAACTATATGCAACTTTTGCTGTTCTGTCTTTCTTGTTAGTATCTCGAGTTTTGTTTCTTAGTTTAGTTGTTGAGTTTTTCTATATTTTCTTTTCTAGAATTTTTGGTCGAGGGATCTACAAGAGAGAGTTTTTTTTTTGTTTTCAATAAGAATATTATTTTAATTTTACTTATTAAGCTATATGAACTTAATAAATTATTAACACATAATAATATTTTTTAAATAGTTAATTTTTAGTCATGTCTTATTTTTATATTTCTAATATACTTACATCTTCTTTGAAAAAATCTGTTAATAGAAAAGTATCTTGGTCTAAAAAGTATAAAATAGCAAAAAAAGCACTTAATATAATAATATAACTTAATTGTAATAATGAATTTCTTAATATAATAAAACAATTTGTTTTATATTAAACATATAAGTTGCAACTTTCAAATAAAAATAAAGAAGCTAATAATATTAAATTACAATCTGTTATTGCTAATTTATTAGTAATTAAACTTTGTGACCAACTACCTAAATAATACAAAAGCATATTAGAATATATTGCAAATACTTGTATAATCAAACTAAAGATATTAATAAAACACAAAAAAGAATAAAAATAAATATAAAAATTATAAACATAATATTCAAACTTGCATTTATGCTAATTGTTAATTTGTTATACTTATATTTATTATACAAGTTAATCTATATATTTAATTGTACATTTACAATACTTACAAAATTTTAACTAATTGATTTATTTTAAAATATAATTAAACTTTTAGAAAATTACTTCAATATATTATTATAAATTAGGTATAAATTTGATTTTTTGTAATTTAGACCTTTTTCTAGTTTAGAAAATGCTTTAATCATTTGTATAGATTTGGGTAGAATTTTTGTAAACTAATTTTATATTATATATACTATATTATACTATATATGCATATTTGCAATATATACATATTTGTAGTATACTATATATTCTTTGCTTTATTATAAACTATATAGTCTTAATTATAATAAATTAAAATTAATACAATGTTTTGTTTAAGTTATAGTATTTTTTTTTAAATTGGTTTAATATAAATTTATATATTTATTTTATAAATATTTATAATTTTGTTTTTGTTTAATTCTAATTTTTTTAAAATTATTTTTGGTTTTAGTACAATATAATTGTACAGTTATCTAATTATTAAAAGTATAATTTTAATAAATTATATCTAGAAATATTGGCTATATAATTAAAAATCCAAAAGTTTATTTTTTTTAACAATATTTAAAAAAAACTTAACTAACAAATTAATAAATAATAAACTTATAATAATTAATAAAACATAAATTTTTCTTTTATAATTAAATAAAATAGTTTATGCAAAATTAATTTTGTTTATATTATTATACTTATTTATTTAATTTTTTATTTTATTTTATATATATATATTATTTAATTGAAGTTTTAACAACAAAAGTTTCTAATAGATATAACAAAAAGTACTAATAATATTATATTACTAATATTTATTATTATTATTATTATTATTTATTATTAAAGACTATATTTTATAGTGATTATTTTATTAACATGTTGATATTAATATTATAACTATTTTTACAGAGAAGAGAGTACAGCTAGTTATATATATAACTTTTAGTTAACTATATAAGTAGTTTGTTCTAGAGTTTTATATTTAATATTATATTTATAATCTACTAAAAAATAATTTATTTAAGCTTTCTAATTATCTATTTTGTTAATTATCTAATTACTACTATACCTCATATATATATTTAACTAGTATACTATCTAAGTAGTATAGTATTATATTTTTTTGAACTGGTTCTCAAGTCATTACATATTTCAGAATACAGCACTTATCATTAAAGCTTAGAGATTCTTTTGTTAATTATTTACTTATTCTATAGATTATAACAAGAACTTGTTTTTGTGAAATTTATCTATATCATAGTATCTACTTCATAATATATTTTTAATACTTTAGTATATCTTTGCTTTGACCTTAAACTTCTAATTCAGATAGTTCAAAAGGATTATAACTTATCTCTAATATATTAAGTCTAATCTAATATTCTTTTTTTTTAGTTCAACTTAACAGTCTGATTAGTAATATTTCTCATATAAAGATTTTTGTTTGTTTAATTCTTTCATATTAATATCTGTTTTCTCAACTTAGCTTTTATAGTAATACCATCAAAGATTTGTATTACCTTTACTCAAGTCTTTTTAAATGAGCTTCAATTTTTTTCAGTTTTATAGATTTGTACAGTTACAAAAACTTACTCTAAATTTATACTGCCTAGTATCAGTTTGTATTTTTCCATATAACCAAAATTATATAGATGCTTCATAACTTGCCAATCATGCTGATGCAACCATAATTATAGGTAACTTATCCCTGATCAAAAGAATGTTGTTACTATAATACCATCTATGTATTACATAAGTGATTATCTAAATTTTTACTATTGATGTGTTTTGAACTCACTACCTACCACTTGGGGAGTTGACAACTTATTCACTTCACTAAGTTGTCACACCCCATATTACTAATATTAGATTTTATAGAATTTAGAACTAAAATTTTAAAAAAAATTGAAAATAGTACATTCAGGAATCTTTATAAAAAGCATGCTAAAAACTGACTGAATTTTCTTCAAACATCAAAACACAATGTATCACAAAAATAATTTCATCAAGCATTATTAGCTGGGATTGGCTAAAACCATGTTACTTTTATGCAGTATTATTAAAGCCTAATATTGGATGCGTTTTTTTTAACTCTTTACTTATTTATTTTTCTCTCTGCAACTTACCCATATCTATAGTCGTTCGTAAACATTATGACAAGATCATAACTTAAAAACTTGCATGGTATAAAAGTAAAGAGTTGCATTTTCTATCAAGTCACTACTATTTTTACATAAATCATCACTCTTTAATTTTTGAAATCACGGCGTACCTATATCAAGCTTTATACGACAAAAAGTTTAATATTTTTGATGGGTTAAAAGATTATTTACTGTTTCTTGCCATCCTAATATATCAATATCCACGTCAATTGAAAGATTTTAACAGAGCAATTCTCATAGACAGAAGTTGTCAGATTTGCTGATGCAAATCAATTTCCCGTTGTTATGGCATTTACTAATTTTCGTCCACCTTTTCTATTGGTTGAAGGTAAATCTCACCCATGATTGGATGAATTCGGTGATGTCACTTGATTCTGGCCAATCAGGATCAGTCACGGGGAGAAGATCAGGTGTAACGTGAAAATCATCAAAACAATCACTTTTTTCTAAAAATCACATTAATCACCTTTCACGTACTAACAAAAAAAATTCCTTACAGAATTTTGGTATAATTTTGGCTACTAATCCTAATGCCAACTCTAAATGAAATGTCACATTTTAAAAAAACGGTGACATGTAAATAATTACAAATTATTTCAACCAATAGAAAGTGTAGGTGAAAATTAGTAAAATGTTATGATCCTTTCGTAACACTATCCGACTTTTTAGAAAATGTGTATTAGAGTGGATTCATATGATTATTGAATGGTAAGCTCGATAAGCGAGACACTCTGAAATCATACGATGTCTGCTAGTCGCCGATGTTAGAGTCCTTTTGAACCCTTCTTTTAACAAAGAGAATTCTTACAAATTGCTCCTCTTAATAAATTGGCTACCTAAATGTCCGTTTATCATGAATCTATAAATATTACCACATTTTAACGTTTCATCCTGATTCCCTGTGCTACCCATAAGAATGCAACCTTGACCCGAAATCCAATATGATACTAACCCATCAGTTGAGCACCACTTCCCTGATGTTCTCCCAACTGAGGTAATACCGGGTAACTTATTTATATGTTTAAAAAAAGCCATCTTCAGATTTAGTTAGGCATTAACGTTCGCTATGCGACGATAATCTAAAATAATCTTAAAACTAATGAAATTTGCTTAAAAGACAAAATATACTGTCACCTATTAGACCGCGCAAGTTATATTATGTGTAAATTTTTTGATAAGTTCGGGATTGTTAATGATCAATATTACATTTACCCGCTTTACGTGTATCTATCTATTTCCAAAAGATATGTGATAAAGTATATCTGCTTACCTGCTTCGTCAAGCTTTTGGCGGTTAAATCTTTTACTACACATTAATTAAAAAAATTGTCACCTGCAAAAGACATGGATTATATGCTAGTACAATACTAGGGATGTTAAATTGCGAATTCAGTCCGGTCCGATCCTAGGATCTAAAAAGACAGTCCTGGACTCGATCCTTTAAATCACATGAAAATACAATACATTTTATAGCCTGTATCAGATCGTGAATTGAATTTATCGAATAAGTTCATCCAATCAAATTAATTTTGTATTGTTATAATAATTCACTTCGTGTATTGTGTTTTCATGTGATTTAAGGACCGAGTCCTTACCGATCCTGCAGGTCCTCGTAAGGACCAGTTAGGATTCGGCCCCAAAAGACTGATTAACATCCCTATACAATACGAAACTTGCAGCTGACCTTAAGACACTATATGGGCCCTAATCCACTTGACTCTCTAGTATTTTTGTGGCTGCAAGTTTTATCTTATAATTGTATTGTACGAATTAATCCATGCACATGCATCACTTCTAAATTAGTGCTTTGCATAGTATTGTTCCATGTTAGTACATGCTCATGGGTTAATATAATACGATTATAATACGTAACTTGCAGTCACAAAAATACTACCAAGGAACAATAGCTATTATTGCATCAATGTAAGGTTTAAAATTTTTGATAGATTAAGAATGACCTGGTAAATAGTCGGAAAAATAATGGTATTTTAAACCCTGTTTGCAGTCACAAAAATACTATAAAGTTAAATTAACAGTATCCAAGACATAGCTTATTGTTTACGATATCAGTATTGTTTAATGACAATAACAAAATCCTTGACATTCTAATATGTACGTATATATAATATCGAATACACATAATTATAAGATTCCAATATATATCTGTATATCTACAACGTATTATATTGAATAAATATATAATTATTTGATAAATCAACGATTGTTGCAATTTACAGGTGATAATCACCACAGGTGAAAATTGGAAATCTTATAAATTTTTTATATTTTTATATTTAAATTATAGATTTATTTATATGTACCCTATCACTATATTATTAATAAGCTTTTTAATTTATTCTATAAAATATAATGTATCAAAAGGGAAGATATTATCTATATATTGTGTGCCCCGCAGTATAAAAAGTATTGATTAGTTTTTAGCTAATTAAAATTTGAGCATAATATTACACAGTGATGTAATTAGTCAATCCTTAAAAATGCATCAAGAACGTAACATAAGATACATTTTAGGTCTATCAAAAAAGCTACTTCTGACTTATCAAAATCGATACTTTTGCACCTCTAATGTCTAATTCGAGTTAATTCAAACCTTCTTATATACTATCATGTGAAAATAGCTATTATATATGCAAATCACGCAATACATACAACCTTTACAAATGCCATGTAATTATAAAAATAGAATTATTATAAGACAATTCCACTAACTAACCATTATAAAAATACACTAACAAATCTAAACTAACTTCAATATAAGTCGAATTAAATCAAATAAATTCAAAAATTGCTTTCAATACCAATCACTACTATAAATCTATTAATTTACACGCACCATCAATACAATCATAACTCATTTATTTGTCATATAACAAGTAACTCACTGCAACTGCATCTTAGACAACACGAACCTTGTTAAACTTAGGCTGTTATTTGAATTTTTGCAACGCCACATAAGATTTTTTTTTCACTTTGGCAATGAATAACGATAAATATTTAATTTTCAGCCGTCTGTCTTATATACACAATCATAACATACAATTTGTATACTTACGTGCATATCACTTTACAAATATCAAATACATAATGGCTGAAAGATATCTAATTAAGGCTTGAAAGTACTTTAACTGAATTACAGTATTTCGACGCTTTAGTATTACAAAAGAATTACGGCAAAAAATATATACAACTTTAAAAAATTTCGTTGGGCAATCAAATTTCGAGGTCAGGTGTAATGTGAACAAAAAGTTTTCCTTGCAAAATTTTGGTATAACTATAGTCCTCTAAATCTAACCTACTTGCAATACCCTAACCCTAACCTAATAGCAAAATGGATTTTCTTAGCGAAATTTTTTTCTTGGTTTTGCAATAAGATCACATAATGTGCGAAATTTTTTAGACTGGTTCATAAAAAATACGGCACATGCCATTGCCGTACGTATTAATTTACGCTTAAAAGCTTCGATTTAATCGTTTACTTTACCCACAATTATGTACTCATTTTATATACACCACTAACACTTTCGCTATTGTACCACTTATGCCTACGTATGTATCTTTATATATCGAATTCTTGGGGAAAAGAACCTGATTCTTTACCCACCTTGATATAGATACGATCTGCATTATATACCACCTTCATATGAGATGATCGCGCCAATTTTACAATACATAAAATTTAATAAAATACGTATATGTATAGAATGTAATATATACTAAAATAAATCTGTTTCATGTAAAATGTATACTAGGTTTATCCTGCATGAAATAATCTATGCATACACCGATATAGCCAATTTGTATTTACGTATCGGTACATACCGATTAATTATCAGTTGTCATTATCTGACTGGTTATTCGAGATCCGGACCTAGGGATGTTAACGACTCGACTCAAGTCGATAACTTGTCGATAGTTGTTTCAAGTCGACTATATGCAAGTCAGTCGACTCAGGTCGATAAATAGTTGATATTTAAGGGATTTATACAATAGATCGGTTTTGTCCAATTAGTTTGCAGATCCTTAACGAATATGTATACGTAATAATACATTATCTACGTATAATGAATTCATCTATTAAAGTTTTTATTATGTATTCGAATGACATGTAAAGGATTTCTTGTTGTATAGATGATTCCTTTAATAAAAAATGTATTTATTAATCAATTGATTATAAAGTAAGGTCACCTATACTGCAAGAGATCCTAATAAATATATTTAAATAAATTTATAAAAAATATTCTTTGCCAAAAAAAAACCAATAAAAACTATCTAAAGCGGAGGTGCGTCACGTAATTAACAGCCAATCAAATAATATAATTGTGATGATCGCTGGTGAAGCAAAACAAGGAGTAAAAACGAAAAACCTAAAAATACAAAAAATGATAGTCTAAACCTGCCTTGGATATGTTAATTAAAAATGTCAGAAAGGCAATTTTGCATATATATAACTATTTAAAACCTAAATTAACCCTGATATTAGAAATTCTGTCTTAAAGTTAATCAAAAACTTTATTAAATATGAGTTGCTTATGTTTTAAGAGTAGGAAGTAAGTAGATCATTTTTTATATAGTTTTATATAGTTTTTTGAAATTTTTATATAAAATTGATATATATTACTAATAAAATTTTTTTAAATTACAACTAATTTTTATTAAAATTTTTATAAAATATAAATAAAATTTTATTAGTTTACACATAGTGTTTATGCATAACTATATTTTATTAAATTACAACTTTATATAATATAGCATCAAAACAATTTTACAAATGAAAAATAAATTCTTGCTTATTATTAGAGTAAGGGTAGGTTTAGAATTAGACAAAATATAGTTTATACCAAAATTGTGCAAGAATTTTTTTTTTGCTAAAAACTAAAAGATAGTTTCATAATTAAAATTTTAAGATATTGGTTAGTTTTTATATTGTTATATATATACACTTCATGTACAAATAGAAATTCTTATATAAGGTATATATGAGGGGTTAGTTGATGATTCCAATATGACAGGGCAGATGATCAGAGGGTTTAAATGGATAATTTCCTAGTAGGTTATAGGTATGGCACCTAGTGTAGAACCTTAGGGTGGATTACTTAAATAGGCAACCAAAAGTTGCATATGTGACTAGCTGTACTCTCATCTCTGTAAAAATAGTTGTAATAGCTAACCCAATAAAAGTCAATAAAGTATCGCCACAAGTATGGTCTTTAACACAAAAAAAAAAAAAAAAAAAAAAAAAAAGAAATTCTTATATAAATAATCTAATTTATCTATTATAACCAAATTTTGAACTATTATTATATTTAAAAAAAAATATTTATATATATTACAAAGTTTTTTAAGATTATCCAAAATTTGTCAGAGTTATACAAAATCATTAAAGTTGATTAGTTAATTTATATAACTTTATAAGTTAACTTAATTAATAAATTTTTATATCTAATTTTTAAAAATATATCTTTTACTAAGTTTTTACTTAATGTTAATAGTTTTATTATTATTAGAACCAGAAAAATCTAGTTTATAAATTTTTCTTATAAATTAAAATTAGTTTACATAATATAGTTTTTTATAAAATTAAATATAAAAAAAATTATTATTAAGTTTATATATAATTTTAATATAATACCTTTACTCTTAAATATTCTTTAAAAAAGTCTAATAATATTTAAAGATTTAATAATATATAGTCAAACCTTATATAATCATATCTTATATAATTACATTTTTATATAAGTATCTAATTTTGTTAAACAAATTATTGTAAAAGTATAAAAAAACTTATATATAAGCATAATCTTTTTATAAGCATATTTTTTAAAAAACTTATTATTATTTTAACTATATAACTAAAGAAAGAATTAATTATATATATATGAACTAGGTGCTGAGAAAAAGGATTAAATTGACAAAAAAAAAGATCTTTAGAAAATTAATTTTTATGTTATAAATCTTATAATAAATTATAAAAAAATACAAACTTTAAAGAGCTATATCACAAAATTTTATTAATATAATTATTTTTATATTTTAAGTAAAAAATAATTTTATTTTTATTTTAAATTAATTTATGTAAAAAAATATCTTTTAAAAAATTTGTCAATTTGGTCACTTTTTTCAGCATTTAGTCTATATATAAATAGGTTTTTATAAATGCACTTCTGATAAATATATTTTTATAAATATATATATCATATATTTTTTTCTAAATATATGCTTGTTTTAATTTAAAACTTATAAAATTTTTATAAATATATATTTTTGAACTTCTGCATATAGTTATAAGTAAGTAT